GGGGGGGGGGGGGGGGGGGGGGGGGGGGGGGGGGGGGGGGGGGGGGGGGGGGGGGGGGGGGGGGGGGGCAGAAGGAGAGGAATGGAGCAAAAAGGCATTTTTCGCTGTAGACGCGGGCGTCAACATGAGTGGCCAAGGGGGTCGGTCGGTTGTCTTGGTTGTTGGTGTCGATAATCTCGAAACAAACAAACCGGATGTGCCCCTGCGGTGGACTAGAGTGTTTTTGGTCGGACAACATCGTTCTCGTTTGTTGATAGTTGCAGGGTAGCCTGTAATGTAGAGAGATACCGTAAGAGACGAGAGATGGCACCCCCGTAGAGCGACTCTGAAAGCTCGTTTGCTCCACAACTAAGGGGGTGCGGAAAAAGCTCAGTACGTCTACCGAAAGCCCTGGACGAGATGTTTCCAAAACGAACATTCTTGGTGTTGGCACCATCAAACTTGGTCGTGGAGCAATGGAGCTTTGACCGTCGCTCTAGGGGGGGCGGGGGAGGGGGGCGTACTCATATGTTTTGCATGTCTTAGCGGCTAGACCATTGACCACGCGTCCTCGAGAGGACGGAACATTGTTTCCACAGGACCGATCACCGATGGCCAATCGTTCCTTTATACTTTGTCAAAGGTGGCTCAATAATGTCTTCCCTAGTCTGTCTACCCTACCGATATCCCTTCCCGCCTTTCAACCCACCTCCAATGCCCCAGTACAGCTACCGTCCTTTCCTCTCTATCATGCCTCAAACATCTCCCTGTATGTCCCATCTATTTTTCCCAGCTCAGTCACGTACACTTCCCTCTCCTTGTACCACGGACATTCCGCGACTACATGAACACGGTCTTCACATTCGAAGCCGCAATCACATTTGAACTCGTCGTCTTTGTCGTCTACCGTCCTATGTCATCGTCGACGTTCTCGAAGGCCTATGTCCCCGGTCCTGAATTTGACCTTAAGCTTTGTTCCTGCATCCATTGGTCCATGTAGGTAATCGTTGAACCCTATTCCTTCTTTCAACATTCCGTACACTTCTAGACCCTCCTTGTCCTTGGATTCTTTCCTTAGATTCTGTTCTTCTCTCTCGGCACAAGCAACAGATAAGTTCTCCTTGAAACCCTTTAGACCCTTCTTTTCCAGCGTTTCATCTTCGTCGATGTCGAGCCCCTTCCATACGTCCTCTACAACCTTGACCCATTCCGTGGGTTGTCT